TGTCTCAACCGTTCCTCCATCTTTCACATCCTTGTGAATGGGAAGAGGCCTATAGTGTTTCAACCGTTCCTCCATCTTTCACTCCTTGTGGATGGGAAGAGTCCTGGTATTGGACAAAAGGTTTAATTGGCCCCCGGATATAGCAGATGTGATGTAGTTGATATATTATCATAAACTCTTCTGGACTTTCATTCAGAAGTTCTTATAAGATGTATAGGTGTATACACATACAGTGTTGCATTAATGCTAGAGCTGGTGGGGCTGCACCAATCCATACAGTTCCATTCATGGGCACCCAGTAGGCTTAACCCAGCTCTGCGTACGTGTACGATTGACCTTGTTTAACTTACATGATATTTGAGTATAAAATGAATGAATTTTTCAGGGTTTTAATCTTAGAGCATCATTTCTTCAGCTTATATCACAGTCAAATGAAGTAGTGCTGGTTTAATAATCAGTATGAAATCTTCGTGTAACAATAGATGCTGCTTTACAGACGTATACAAGTATTCAGGGTTGTAAAAAGTAAAGGTGTAAGTTTAAAATAGAACCATTTGTTGTGACATAAAAACTACTGAGAAACTTGATCAGTCTTACAGAGATAGCTGCTTTTGAAATCACACAGTTTATGATGATTCAAAAATTAATTTACATTTGTGATATTTGTTTTTCCTAACTCTTGAGCTTAAGGACATACAAAAAAAAAACAGATAGAAGTTTATTTAAAGCAACTGTTAATTATTATGATTTCTTAGTTCCAGGAGCAGGAACTAATCCTTTTTCCACCACTGTCTACAATAACCCTTTCCAGCTGGTAAAGCCTCAACCACCGTCAATTAACCAGCTTCGAGCCCAGAACCAATTTCAAGCTTTTCCTACGCATCTTCAATCTAATGACCTTGTTGGGTCAGAAGCTTTTCAAACTCCTTTAGATCCAACTTGTCAGTTTACAGACTATCCTCAAAATCCCTTTATGTAAAGAACCGAATATAACTGCTGAATTTCTTTTCTTTTTTTTGAGACAGTTTTTGTATATAAGGATCAAATCATATAAAAAAAAACAACAACATATTGTTATGTCATGTTCCTATACATATATATATACTCTGTGTTAATGCAGTCAATTACTTCAAATATGGTGCTAGCTTCCAGAACAAAAAAATTCTAAAACTATGCTCAGTAATATATGAATTATTGTTGTTACTTTTTACTCCAGAAGAATTTGTTAAAGTGTAGAAAATTACTGAAACAAATGAAAAAGAGAGATAGAAAATTACAAAAAAAAAGGGCCATTTATGACTTTCATATATTGTTGGTTTTAACTTGATTTGGTGTGCTCTCACAACTATTTCATTAGTAAAATCATTTATTTGCTTAAGGCTTTGTAATTCAGTTTTAAGGGCCACCATGCAACTCAAAATTTTGTGACATTAATAAGACTTGCTGTCTGGTAGTGAGTGACGAAGGAGAATCGTAGTGAACCATCTCAAAATGCTCTATTTTTTATACTTTGTGGGTTAAACCAGTTTTTTTTTCTCAAATATTTTTATATGTATTTTACTTCATTCAGTATTCGTGTCTTTAAAACTTGGTCTGACTTTTAAAAAAAAATTTATGAAACATTTATTGTATTTTTTCCTTTTTTTTTGTTTCACGAGTAAAAGTTATTGTATTGGTGCTTTCGAGTCTTTTTTTTTTTTAAAGATACTCATTCTTGTGTTTGTTTTTTATAACTTTTCTAAAATAGTTGTGTTCCTTTTTTTTGTGTGATGTTGCCTTTCTGCAGATATGTTTTGTTTTTGCAAAAGCCTTCTATAAATATTACAAAAATAGTTTACAAAAATGCATGCATGACTTGCTAGGGACATCTCAGTAAGTAATTAACTGTTCTTTCCATTTATTCTGTTTGCTTGTATATCTTAGCCATTGCCAAAGCTAGGTGTATGGAGAGATTTATTTTTATAGATACGTCATCGTTAGGATAATTTAAATATAAACACCTTGAAAATTTCATTTTGACAAAATGCTGGGAAATATTAAGCAACAATGTGTGTGATGTTTATGTTTTATGTACTGTCAGTAATTGTCAAGTTTATTGTATGTATATATGTTAAACAAATAAAAGCTTGTCTATTACAATTATGATGAGTAAAATAAACAAACTAATTAGTTTTTGTACAAAGCACATAGTGGAGTAGGAAGCCTGTCAAGAAAAGTCTGTTTAAAATAATTCTACATTTCAATGTTTTTTCAAATTGTGAAATGTTATAAAGTTTCAAAGGTGTGTTGGTAAACAACTTGGAAATTATTTCAATGGTTCTGTAACATTTTTTGTTTAAGAACAAGAATAAAAATGTCGAATACTAGCGTATAACCAGGTAGTTTATCTACTTGAATTGCTAAGCCTAGCCATGCTGAACTAAATGTAGATATTAAGACGTAGGAGTTGTATTTAGAAAGTTACATAATATGTATTTTTTTTTCTATAATGCTTAAACTTTGGGATCAGTAAGATCTAAAAGAAAACATACTGGAGTTTCTATTTATCCATTTGGGAGAGATACATTAATTTGTTCTTATTTTAAAAGGTATTTTAGTATATAAAGTTTAGATCTATTGAGTTTGAGATAACAAAGTAAATGTTTATAATAATGAATAAAATCATACATATTTTAAATTTCTCCAATTTACGAAATCCTTACTTACTTATTTTACTTCATAACTTATTTATTAAGTGGTTTGAAGCCATGCTTTTGATTTCTTAAACACTGTAACTTATGTTGCTTTTGAAGTCTGCATATTGTTTTATGTATTAATAAATATTTCCAGTTAATTTCTTGATTTTTTAAAATAATTAAATTATATCCTGAATTTGTTAACCCTAGTATTTGATTTCAAGTCTTGCTTATTGGTCATTGACACTGCAGTGAGTTATGTAAAAGATACGTCTTGTTAAGGCATTTATTAACCATTTTGCTGCGGCTTGAAAGTGTCACAGCTGCAGTTAATGGATTAAGTCAGAACATCGAGAGATATATTACTGATAATTTTGATACTCTTTAAAGAACGATACACAAAGCTTTGAGGACTATAGTGAAATTATGCATCAACATTTAAAAAAAATATGTAAAGTTTATTGATGTAAGGCATTATCTATGTAATTACCATCCTGATGTAATTAATTCATTTTAGAGTTCTCATTTAATTTCTCATAAAAAAAACTTTTTTTTTTTAACTTTAATGGTGTGAATCCAGCTTATTTTCATTTGTTTTATGTTAAATGTTTGTGTGAAGTGGATATTTTTACAATATTTAAAAATTTTACATAATAAATGATAAGATTCCTTGTGGTCCAGTATTATTTTGGAACAAAAATTAACATAATAAATACTGATTACTTGAAAAAAAAAACTGTTACACCTGGTGTCTAGAGTACCTGTTTTATGTCTAGAGTACCTGTTTTATGGTTGATTAATTTACTTGTTTAGTGAAGTCAGTTAATAAAACATAATTCTCAGTCCTCCATTTTGAAACATAATGATACTAACAAAATGGAATAACTGTAATATCAGAATTATGCTTTATTATGGAGTAACAAGCATTTGCTATGTAACTAATGACAGTTATTCTGTTAGGTGCTGTGCGTATTTTGTATCAGTATATATATATATAAAAGTTATATATGTAATGTTTTAATGTTGACCTGCAATCTCCTGTGAATGATTTGAACACTTAAGTTTTGTAGCAAGATATTTGTTGCTGAATAAGACTACTGAAAAGTGAAACATTAACTGGTTCGGACTGGTTTGAAATGTATACTAACCAATCATTTATTAATACGTGTTTTGTTCTTAAATATTATTTTTACTTTTGATGTATTCTTTGGATTTAACTGTAATTTTTTCATATTTTTATATATATCTACTATGCATTGGTATGTTTGCCTCATTGCCAATATTTTGTTTCTCTGTAAGTATTACAACCTTGGAATGATAAAGTTCACCATTATATCAATTATATTCTGTTTTTAGATACTCATTGTTAAGTTGGGAATATAGAAAAAAATGAAGCCAGCTTTGAAGTTTTGTAGAAATAATTCAGAGTGAATTCAAATATTCCATGATTTACCTTGTTATTTTAAACTGTGGAATTTTAAAAATATGTAACTGAACCAAAACTATGGCATTAGAATTGGTTATTTGTTTTGTTGGGGTAATCTTAGAATATCCAACAAAATAATTTTACTTGGGGTAAAAGAGGTTTAATTATAATATTCCGTGATTTACCTTGTTATTTTAAACTGTGGAATTTTAAAAATATGTAACTGAACCAAAACTATGGCATTAGAATTGGTTATTTGTTTTGTTGGGATAATCTTAGAATATCAAACAAAATAATTTTACTTGGGGTAAAAGAGGTTTAATTATAATATTCCGTGATTTACCTTGTTATTTTAAACTGTGGAATTTTAAAAATATGTAACTGAACCAAAACTATGGCATTAGAATTGGTTATTTGTTTTGTTGGGATAATCTTAGAATATCAAACAAAATAATTTTACTTGGGGTAAAAGATGTTTAATTATATCTTATTACATCTTTAAGTACTGTACTTTAATGATAAAGAGTATATTAAAAGTATTACTAAGACTAGTGTTTTGATCATCTCAGTAATTTTCTATACAGTTTTTGTTTTTCTCATGTTATCTGGTAACCAGGCTTCCCAATTTCTCTCAGACTTTGGGAAGTGTTTTCTGGAGTGTCTAGTTGTTTTGATATATACCACTAATAAAGGTGGACTTTTAAAAATTGGGGTTATGTGACACGTGTTTAAATAGTAGAAACCGTTGTTATTATCAGTACCTGGAATTAAAAAAAGTGTGTTTCTTAATCGTGATAAAGACAAAGATATTTCTGTTTGAGAGAGAGTTTGTTGAGGATATTTCTAAAGTTATATAAGTCTCTAAAAAAATTGTAAGTGTGACTTATAGAAGCAGCCCTCAGTACAATTAGAATTGTGTTGTTTGTGAAAAATCTATATTAATATAAAAGTACATGTAACCATTTTCATAATGCTTTTTAACTTTAAGTATGTTAGAAAATAAAGGAATTAAAAAAAAACTATTACTATAAGATTGCCAGTTTTTGTTTGTTGTACTTCAGTATCTTGTTATGAAAATA